TCTGGAACACAACTTTTGGGTAAAAAAAAATCCTTTTGCTTGGTTTCATTTCTTTACCAATATTTTCACGCCCCGATTTCTTTTTGTTCTGTTGTATAGTAAAGTACACAAATTAAAAGGTCCATTTGCATCCTGATTGCTCCGCTGATATGGTCTTATTGGGCCTACTACCTTCCTTAACCGCTCACCTATCTTGCATAGTGCAGGTGCACATGATGTGAAGGAAAAGGCACCTCCAACAGCGTGTGAAAAGAGATGCTGGACTGTCAGTGTCTCCATGTTGGAGTAGTGGAGTCCTGTAGCTCAGTGGTTAGAGCACTCGCTTTGCAAGTGAGAGACCTGAGTTCAATTCCAGGCAGAGGGCGAAACCTTGGGCAAGTTTCCTTACTCCACACAGAGCCTAATAATAATCCCTCCAAAACCAAAAACAATAATAAATTGGTCATTTTCAATCTATGACTGTTTGTGGGACATTGCTGTGCGCAATTGGCTGCCGCGTTCGCCCACAAATATGCAGTTAATTCACTTTACAGTGTGTTCGGTGAAGCGCTTTGGGACGTCCTCCCGACGTGAAAAGCGCTATATCAAATGCAAGGATTATTATTATTATTAGCAGACTTTGTGTAATTTCTACCTCATAATCTACACCAATTGTCCTATGCAATGCCACGGGAGTGCTACAATAAGGGTTGGAGGTGCCGTCCTTCAGATCATACATTAAATCTAGATCCTGTCTGCTTGTTAGAGATCCAGTGGCTATTCAAAAAGGGAAAGGAATTCCTCCCAGTGTCCTAGCCAATAATTTTCCAGGTAAAATTGGGTATCCTCTTCATGGCTATTTGTGGGGCATCGCTGTACACAAATTGTTTCCTTCATTCACCTCCAAACACACAGTCACTACATTTAACACTTAAAATTTTATGAATTCAATAACACTTAAAATTCTGTGAGACAGTTTGGATTAAGTTCATGGTAAATCTTGTGCACACCGAGCAATTTGTTGCAAGCAATTTTTCATTGCGGAAGATGTTATGGAGTGGGAATAATGGTGTATAAAAACATTGCTTAGAAGCTTAATTACATTCTCACTGCAATCTTCTCTGTGTGCTCCGTAATGTATAGAAAAACTAAACACACTAAGTGTCTTGTAAATTATTCATCTTTCAGAAGTGCACACATTATATGTACAAATGTGTGACAGAAGACTACATCCCCAAATCATGGTTGGTGAGTCAATGACTAGAGGACGTCAATTTAAGATGGTTGGCAAACAAACAAATAGGGGAAACTTGGAGGAATGTTAGCATTCAAAATAACTGGATGGATATATAAAAAGGAATAAGAAAAGAGTTTGGGGGAAAGGGCAGGAAATGGGACTGAAAGGTTGTTCTCTAAAAAAGAGGCACGACAGACACAATGGGCCGAATGACCTGTGTGGTGAATTTCTTATGAATTCTACAAGCAGTACTGTTGAAATAGACTTTCAGCTGATGGCTTTCAACACACATTAGGAGACTTTTTACAGCACGGTCCGAATGCGTGTTGAAGGCCATCACACAAGAAAAGAGTTGAAACTTAATTTGAAGCAACGATATATATGCACAATGTTCTGAAATGTGGTAACATCATATCAGCTGGAATAATGAGATTGCCTATTGCAGTCTTTGCCGTAGGCATATGTTACCGCTATGTTGTGATTGCACAAACTCTCCTGATATCAGGTTGTTAAGGCTGAATAGAAAGGGAGAGTCCTTCCATCTTATTAATGGGGCTGTATAATAGTCCAGAGTCCAGAAATAGAGATGGTGTGTTTAATAACCCATCACCTCATCCAATCCTTGAGAATTTGTTTGAAACAAGATGCTGGAAATCTGAAATGAAAATGCTCTAAATGCACAAGGTGTTCATCAGCGTAACTGGTTAGTGTTTGACTTGCTGATATTACCAGTGTTGCCTCTTGGAGTATTACATTTATTACAGGGTGCAAATGAGAAATGTTTCCTATTCTCTATCCATAATGAGCATCCTTTTTTTTTAGCAGTAAAGCTATTTCAAACCATTTGGGGGAAATCAGAGGTAAGAGGTGGAGAGGAGATTGAAGAATTTGTGTTACAGTCATTGTGAGCTATTTATGCATTGGATCGAGTGCCATTGGTAGAGACATGTGAGCAGATCTCCTGACTCCCTGCTGCCTCAGTCTGAGATTGATTGACGTGCGGTGCAGCATAAATCTGCACAAGAAACCAGTGATCAATCAAAAACTCTCCTGAGCTCCAGACAGAGAAGCCTTTTAACTACTGATTTATGCAAAAACAACTTGTATTTGTATAACGCCAGGAAAAGAACATCTTGGTGTGCTTAATGGGCGCTGTGCATTTTGAGCCCGAAGTGGATGTTAATTAGAGGTGACCAAAGGCACAGTGGAAGGAAAAGATTGATGAAAGCTGCGAATGAGGGAGAAACACTAAATGGTTAAGTAAGAAAGTTCCATCTGACTCGGGGTGGTAGCTGAACAGAGTGGGTGAGTGGGGCATGATCAGTGAATTGTAAGAACTAAGTCAGGCTGGAATGCAAGGCTGTATTTAGAACATAAGAACATAAGAATTAGGAGGAGGAGTAGGCCATTCAGCCCCAGCCTGCCCCGCCATTCGATAAGATCATGGTTGATCTTCTGACATAACTCTAATTACCTGCCTATTCCAATATCCCCTAATCCTCTATTTTTAAAAATCTATCAGTCTCAGCCTTGAAAATGTTCAACAGCCTTCTGGGGGAGTGAATTCCATAAATTCACTATCCAAATGTAATGGATAGGGTGGAAGAAGGCTATGGAGAGCTCTCTATGGTAGAGGATCTTGACCCACTGTCGGTCAGGGACCAGTAGAGGTTGGCAAAGCTGAAGTGATGGGACTGTGGTATCTTATATGGGGCACAGATCTGATTCAGAACTCTGGATGAGTTGATGTTTATGAAGGGTGGAGCTGGGGAGTGAGCAAGAGGACTTGAAAATATATCAGTGGTGTAACTGAGACACGGACAAGGGAGCCAGTGGAGCTGGAATTAGGACGGGGATAATGGGCTCATCAAGCTTCGTGCTGGAGAGAAATAAAAATTAAGTTGCCTGATTTAATGCCATGATTTAATACCGGAGCTTAATTTAAGTGTGACGTGGTGAACATGTTTACATAGAAAAATAAGATCTCCTCCACCTCCTCAAACTGTGGACAGTCACTACTGAAGAATAAGCCATTCTTATAATACAATCTTTGAGTAATGAGTAAGTGTGGTGGGCGACACTTCTTGCTTGCTATTGTTTTCTGGTAAATCACGATGTGCATATTTTTCTCCCCTCCCACTACTGAAGGCACCGATTGATGCTATTGTAGGAATAAAACAAAAGCTCAGAGTCGTGCTCCACCACTGTCAAGCGCTCTGGGACACTACCCTGCATGAGGGGCACTATATAAATGTAAGTTGTTGTTGTTTACAGAACCAAGGATGTAGAATGTGGTGTCGAGAATGTGTTTATTACAATAATAAAAATAATAGCCCTTGCATTTGATATAGTGCCTTCTCATATCATTGAGACGTCTCAAAGTGCTTCACGGAATATACTGTAAAGTGATTTATGTTTTGTATTATATTTATTTATAATGATATTATATTTGGTCGTATGCAATGGTGGTCTTAATGTTGTATCACTTCCATTTTATGGTCCCTTCCATTTATGATTTCTTTGGTCTGAGACCATTTTATGATTTCTTAGATCTTTGGTTTACTGCCTACTTAAAATATATTTTATATGTTAATTACATATAATTTGTGGCATCAACGTTCCATATCAGTGTTGCAATAAATATTTAAAATGCTAATTTATGTAAATTCATGCAGAAACTTTGACTGCAGTGAAAGCAGCTTGGTTTGCATAAATCTTTTTCTCTGTGGACGTATTGAAGGTCAATTCCTGGTTTACAACAACAAAAAATTACACTCGTATAGCGCCCTCCACATCGGAAAGATATTCCAGGGCGCTGACATCAATTACAACCCATCAATTATCAATGGAGCTATTTCCTGTTGCATGATGGTGTAAAAAAAAGGTGCATTTTTTTGTGTGGGATAATGCCACTGTAGTTCTTGCTCATTCATAGCCGTGCACTGTTAAATTGAGAAAGTTGAGAAACCATTTCTGTTCTTGGACAGTAACTAAGAATGGAAGTCAGAGAGCTAAGTACGGTTTTGAAACACCGGGTTAGGATGGGTCCTCTCTGCTTGGAGCATGATTATTTTGGAGCAGAGGTTCTCAAACTGGGGCCGTGCCTCCCTGGGGGAATGCAGGCGTACACTAGGGGAGGCGCTGGTTGCATGCCTCGAAACGGTCCTGGTGGGACTGATCCCCCGACAGCCAAGCTCCACAACAGCCCAGGTTCCAGGTCGACACTTTGCTCGACAGCCAAACCCTGGCTCTACCTTTCTGCACTGCAACCTCGAATTCCACCACTTTGTACAGTGAGGAGACAGGCTTACTCCACCCACTGTTGGATGGGACTGACAGATAATAATAATACTCCTTTTATTGTATTTTATTGATGTTGTACTGACTTGGTCTGTAGTTGCTTGGTATTGCACTTTCCTGGAATATTTGTGTAGTTTGGGTTTGGCTGTGCTTTGTGCTCATTTTGGGCACAGCATTGTACCATTTCAGTTGTATTGATGTTGCAGTGATGCCTTTAAAGATGTTTTGAATGTTCGAAAACAGCTGTAGTGAAAATTGAGCATATCCTTGTGTTAAAGTTGCATAAATGCAATCTGTTCTATCAGTTTAAAAAAAAATCTAATTTACCTGGCTTTAGAGGGTGGCAGAAAAGTATTGAATTTGTTTTTCTCAAGCTCCAAGCAATGCTCACTGTAGACATGCATTTACATGAAGTTGACGGGTATCCATTTCCTCCTTGTAGCCAAATGTTGACTGTTCTCTTTCTGATGTTTTATTTTCACAGGGCTTAACCAATTGGGCTTTGACCCTGCAAACAACAATGAACCACTACAGTTTGGAAACACAAATGGCCCACTGGTGACCGAATGTTCTATTGAGGGCAGCCACGAGTCAAATAAGAAAAGGAAACGGAATAACATTGCTGCAGGTAAGGCCGGTCATATCGGTAAATACTGCAGGAATGAAACTGGGAAGATCAGCAGTTCTCTTCAGATATAATGTTGTTTTGTATTTGTGCAATGAGAGGTTAAAGTGATTTATGTGATTGTTCATCTTTTATACAAAAAAAATTCATACTCAGGATACATTATCTAGACATCATCCGATAGAATTTGCTTCGAACAAATATATTTCAATCGAAAAACTATAATATTTTCACTAATACAAGAAGACCTGTTGCACATCTCCCAGTTAAAGTATTTTAATAGGTTGACATCATTAAAAATCGCTAAATGTACCTCTGTACATTTGAACCAGTCATCAGACCATTCAGGGGTCCTGTAGCTCAGTGGTTAGAGCACTCGCTTTGCAAGTGAGAGACCTGAGTTCAATTCCAGGCAGAGGGCGAAACCTTGGGCAAGTTTCCTTACTCCACACAGAGCCTAATAATAATCCCTCCAAAACCCAAAACAATAATAATTTGGTCATTTTCAATCTACGACTGTTTGTGGGACATTGCTGTGCACAATTGGCTGCCGCGTTCGCCCACAAATATACAGTTAATTCACTTTACAGTGTGTTCTGTGAAGCGCTTTGGGACGTCCTCCCGACATGAAAAGCGCTATATCAAATGCAAGGATTATTATTATTATTATAGGTCATAATCCTTGCTCCAATTAAACACCAAATGCCTAGTAGCGATTTTGATTTTTTAAAAAAAAATTCTACACACTGCTTTAATATGGTTTAAAAAAAGTAGCTGAATTTGTGGAAAATGCAGAATGTGGTTTCAGCTGGAAATATACTTACATCTGGAGTCTAAAATAAGTTTCCATAAATGAGACATTACAGGCAGCCATTCCATGCATGGTTTGGAACGAACAATGTTTATTCCCAGACACTTACACATGCAATTAATGTCAGATTCCCACACCACTTCCTGTCCCATAAAAAAGAGAATATCACATCTGTTTTTTTTAACTGTTCCATTTGAGGCACAAAGATGTTTTAATGAAATTTTTGTGAATATACCTATAATTATTTCAGAGTCTTTGAAAATCTTGTACATTGTCACTGGAAAACCGTAAGCTTGACTATTAAAATTATGATTTTGTTCAACCAATCCATATGGATGTAGGTTGGTCAACATGGGATACTAATCCTAACATTTGGTATAGCATCTTTCAACATCTCAAAGTACTTCACAGGATTTTTACTGAAAGTGGTATAACTGTATTTTTGTAGGCACACATTGTCTTTATCCTGTAGGAAATCCTTGTCTAACATTGATGGTATCTCTCTCACACCCTACCTTTATTATTTCATCAATATTACGTTGGCTAATATTCTAAAGATTCCTCCCAAACTCCAGATACATCGTGCTACCTCCTCACTGATTCTCCAATGATTTTAAATCCTAACTCATTGCAGTCTACTATTTGTAAACTTAGTCTTTGTGTGATCTCAAGACTTTGGGTGGGTGAAGGTATGAAGAGGCTAAAGTTTCTGAAACAGAGGAAGTGGCCGGAGAGGAGGGTGAGGCAAAGCCACTTGAAGGTAAGGACAAGGATCGTAAAGGATCGTAAAGTTGATTTACTGAGATATCGAGAGCTTGTGGAACCCGGTGAGGATACAGGTGATGCGATTGTGGAGTCTAGTATGTGAGAGAAAGTGGGCTGCAGAGTTCTGGATTGTTTTCAGTTTGTAGAGGTTAGAGCTGAGGAGGCTCAGTGTTGATGGTTGAAGAAGTTGGTGAAAGATTTATGTTGGGGGTGAGATAATAGAAGAGGCAGGTGATATTGCGAAATTGGAATAAAAAGGCTCAGAGAGTTGAGGGCTGAACAAAATGCTGAGGATCCTCACAGGCTTGGTCAATTGCTTGAGCGTCCGGCAAGATTGATCCGGTGGGTAAGTGCTTGAGGTGAGAAGGCGTTGGTGGTGCTGAGCAGGATGGCTTCAGTTTTATCGATGTTGAATTGGAGTACGTTGAGGTTCATCGAAAGCTTGATGTCTGACAGGCAGTCTGTTAGAATAGCTGTGGTCCTGAAGTCAAGAGTGGAACTTGAGGTAGAGTTGGGTGTAACCTGCATACGCCTAGAGAGAGGTCTCCATGCTTGTGGAATGGAGTCACCGAGGGAGAGGAGAGGACCGAGAATAGAGCCTTGAGGAACACCGTATGGGGGCAGGAGGAGAAGCAGTTAAACTATAGGTTAGATTTTATACTAAGATCTTACTTTGATATAGCACCTTACATTAAAGATAAATCTCAAGGGCTTTAAAAATATATACTTGATTAAAAATAAAGAGAAATATTGTCAAGCGTGGTAGCCAATCTGTGCCAGTTGCTTCCAATAAATGTTAATGAGATGAAAGTAAATGATAGATTTTCCAGGTGCAGTAATAAACATTAAAGGGCGCCTTAATTGGCGATAGATCAACTTTGTTTTATCGATTTTGCTGGGCATTGTAATTACATGTCTGTCATTCTGGCATCGGGTCTTGTGAGAGGATGCCATTGATTTATATTGTTTATTTATAAACAAAGAGTTCTGTGTGGAGAAGAAACTTAATCATTTAAGTGTTGGTTGATGAGGCTGCTGCTGTTCTTTCTAGCGGAGGAAGTTAACTATTCAGCTTGGTTCAAAGTTTTCTAATATATTGAAAGATGAAGGTAGTGATGTGGAGAGCAGAATGAAGGAATTTCCTGAAGTTTGTTAGATCGTGTAATGGGACCAGTCATATTGGTTAAATCTCTTCTGGTTTCTCCTCCCTACCTTCCTTCCTGAAGGGGCTCAGACACTTGCTTTACCTCGGAAAAGGTTCTACAGATACCAGTTACCCTCTGATGTTTTGCCCAATGGCCATTGCTCACGCGTTGCCTAAAACACTGTATTTGGCTGTTCATTCGCAAGGTGCGAGATGTTGTATCTGGGTCCAGTCCTTCACTGGTGATTACCTTTAGTGGGGGCTGTTGGTAACAATTAGGAGAGGAAACCCTGGCTGACTTTTCCCTTCTTAATGCAGGAATTGAGAACCCAATAAAAATCAGCTAAGTTTCTCGATTCTGATCACAATTCAGTGATGATTGCTGGAATGTGCTTATGTGTTGAACAATAGGCATAAATCTTAACTTCCCTGGCGTAATGTATTGATGCATTCACATGTTGTGCCATTCTTTCTTATTCTATTTTTAAGTTTAGTTTCGGATCCAAAATTATTTTCTTTCGAAGGCAGCAATTTTTGAATAATAATAATAATAATAATAATCCTTGCATTTGATATAGCGCTTTTCATATCTTCTAGACTGAAAGATGTGTGGCTTTCTCTCTTTTTAAAGGAAAGACTCTTTGTTCTTCCCACATTAGATTACTACCCAACTACTAAAATGGAAGATTGGTTTCTGAAATTAGTCTCTTTTTCAGCCACAATGAACCGCTTGAAATGATACTGTTTGGGATAAGGTTGCAGCTGTTCTATCTCCTTGAGTGCTTCTATAAAGAGCAATGTTTGGCTTGGCCTACTCAACTAAACATTAGTGGTTCCAACTAACTTATTTTAAGTCCTCGGTTTCCTCCTCTCAGAATCTGAGATGCTTGTCAGGTTCCAAATTTAGCAGCATTACTGTGGTGCCTTGGGCCTTATTGCATCAAAACTTCTCAAAGACCCTCGCAAGTATCTTCTGTCAGGTGAAGTTGTAGGCAGCCATTTTCCGCAGGAAAGTCCCCAAAACAATCACACGGTGAACGACCAATTAATGTTGTTATCCAGAACCAGTGAGAAACTGCCTTCTCTTTTCCATTAGTGCAATAGGATCGTCAGATGATTGGAGTTTCAGTTTTTCAGGGAATTATCAGTTTTCTTCATTTTTCTCCATCTGTCCAAATGGTCCAATGCCCTGTTAGCACCAGAGAGCAAGTTATCGGCATATTGGCGAAAATAAAATTCATATAATTTCTGTTTTCTTTCGGGAATATTCGGACTCGCCAGTTAACAATTGTTTTGGTCATTTGGGTGTCTGACTCATGCGGAAACCTGTGGAGTTTGTGGAATTTGTGGATTCTTGTAGCTCAGTGGTTAGAGCACTCACTTCGCAAGCGAGAGACAACAACAACAAGATTACATTTGATAAGCATCTTTCACGTCGGGAGGATGTCCCAAGGCGCTGGACAGTGTACAGCATTTCAGACCCGAGCTGGGTCAGTGGGGAAGAAGGGAGCGGGGTGGAAGGGAAGGGCGAAACCTTGGGCAAGTAGCCTTACACGCCTGATAATAATTCATCAAGAAAAAACTAATAATAATTTGGTCACTCAGTCCACGGCTGTTTGTGGGACACTGCTGTTTGTAATTGGCTGCCACGTTTTGCCCACAAAAATACAGTCAATTCACTTTACAGTATATTCTGTGAAGCGCTTTGAGGCATCTAGAAGACGTGACAAGCACTATATCAAATGCAAGGATTACTTATTATAAACCCAGTTATGCTTAAGAATCTAAACCAGACTAAGAATTTTATAATCAGAATAATAATCCTTGCATTTAATGTAGCACCTTATCATGTCTTCGAGACATCTCAAAGCGCTTCACAGAATATACAGTAGTTAATTAACCGTATATTTTGTGGGCAAAATGCCATCGATGTGAAGGTGTCTGGATTAGAGAACTTTTTTCCATTTTGCGCATCTAGTGGTTCAATCATGCACTCCACCATCACATATTGCTCATTGAATCTCTCAACATTTTTGCAATGTTCTGCTGCACCAATATGCATTTCCACTTCTCTACTCCAGTCATTTTTGTAGTCTCTGAATGAAACTGCCAAAGTGGTGCTTTGCACTGCACATTCACATTAAACCTTTAAATAGAACCCCTTGTAGCCTACAGAAGAATTCAGTCACGCCATACTTTTCTTAAACTAAGATGTAGTCATTTAACCATTAATGCTGGTTAGTATTTGATTCTGGGTCCTTGCCCAGACATAGCAGGCTTGCA